AGAGGCCTTAAACGCTGTTTTAAGGGGCAACACCTCTATCCTCACACAGTCACTAGGAATGCGGTAACGTTCAACAGTGAAAATGCAGCAAGATTTTTCTGGGTTGATTTAACAATGTAAATATTACTAATTGAGTTCATGTGCGCTATTGAAACTTGTGTACATACACATTACCAGCTATGCTCTCGGAAATGTTTTACTGCCCTGTGTTATTTGTCAGAATTTGCAATTGAATAAATCGAGGTGCCAATTCCTCCAAGAACTTATCTGCTTTTTTTATTCTGCCAAATTTGCGCCAGTTTGAGTAGCGTTGACATTCTTTCTGGTGTAGAGTAATCCTTTTATTTCTCTTCACGCTCCTAATGCCGAATGTAGCATCATGGTTGGGTTTGGTTTTGAATTTAAAGTGTTGGGGCGGAATGATGATCATAAATCCTCTTATTAGGTTTGCTTGTGAAGGTTTTTGATGCCCTTGTGGGTTTCCGGTGAGCTTAACTTGCTGCGTGGACATTTGGGGAAAGAGCGTTTACATGGTTCTGCTGTTTCGCTCCCGTCACACGTCGCTGTTGTCTCCCGGTTTCCTATTTTGTAGCTGTTAACACGCATGACAAGTTTGAACACATCTGACAGAGTTAACCCCACCATTAGTTAGCCTCGTTCGAAATTTAAGAGTATTGCACTCGTTAGTTGGGAGAATAGTTCGAGTTGGTGACCTCCGTCGGGTCGGATGCTCGGTTTGCCCCCCCTCACCAAATACTGTCTACTTAATCGAACTTGAGGCCTTTCGCAGTCGGACATGGATGTCGGAGTTCTCTGTGCTCGTTCAGGCGGGATATAGCGTTGGTCTAATGTAGCCAACTCTCGATGGGATTTCAGCCTTCCAGTAGCCAAATACGCCTCAGCTAGTACTGACAGTTGAATCTCCAACGCAAACAGTCTTCTATCAACTCTGGAGAGTATTTCTTCGAGACTGTACGAGCTTTTCGCTTGCTGTTGTATGCCGTCCAGGCGTCACTTGATCCCAACTTCCATACTTATGTGGGCCTGTTGCGTGAAATTGGCCTGACCTGGAACCGCGTGGCCTAGGCACCGTCATACAATTTCTAGGTGGCGTGCCAGCTACTCTTTTCTAAGTCTGCAAATTGCCCAAACAGTGCCAGATGCCCATTTTGAGATGCCCTCCATTAAAACATGGGATCGGGCCCGTAAGAACATTTAGTAACGGGAGGGTTCTAATCTAAAGGTAAGATGTAGATGGATAGAACAGGCGAATAGCTAGAGCGCTGGAGCTGTAGTCGCCCGCTTACTTGTAGTGAATCGGTGGGCTTAAAATTTTCACCGCCTCCATCCTAGTTGAATAATCAAAAAATGAGGAACTGATACACGGTAGTGCGCTTGATTTAAGGCTCAGCGACTTGAGTCCGGATTGGGCTCATTAGCGCCGTAATTAAGGCTCAATAATCAGAGAACCCTGGCTCGAGGCCCAGGTTCCTTAAGCCTGGCCTTAGATGTAGCTGGTTGACGACGGTCAATGAGTCAGAAATAGGCATCCCTATCTTTAGTCCTTTGTACTCCCGCTATCTCAACTAAACTCGAGAATATCGGAGACGTGGTCGGCCCAACGGCTGACGGAGCCAGGCAGCCCGTATACACATGTCACATGATCTGGCCCCAACACCCACCAGTTGTCACACAAACGCGTAATCCGCTTGGGTGTCATATGCGTTAGTGCTATCGAGGCCATATGGAGAAAAAAACGAGGAGTCTGCCTTCCGCCGTGGAAGTTGTCGATTC